ATTTTTCGAGACCCAAGAGGTTTTAATGTCTTTATTTTATTTTATAATTTACAGAGTCTTAAGGAGAAACCATTAAATCATAACTTCTCGCATATTGCTGTTGAATATTAAAGTTTGGTAATTTTACGCGTATAAAAATTGCATTTATACACAATACACAACCGATATAGACGAACACCAATGCAAATAAACAAAAATCTATAAAACCACTTCGGCTTATATGCAGTGGGTATAAAAGAAAAATGAATAAAAGTAAATGTAAATTGTAATGCTTACAGTTTCCGGGCACAAAACGTTATTGATTTCAATCTCCTGTCGATAAGTGTATCACCGACTGCACACACACTTACAAATATGTATAAACCCATACATAAGTATGTATACAAACACACTGTCTCAGAAGTGAATGAAACGGTGTGTTAGTGCACAAGTATGCAATAAAAACCTTTTAGATTTCAAATTTATTTCTTTCAACTAGCATTTGTTTATTTTGCCATACAAACCTTGAGAGAGTTGAAGGTAAGATTTATAGCCAGCGCTTGCAGTCGGCATTGCCATTGGCAACACAAAGTGGTTATTGTTTACGGCAATGGACAGTTGCCAATGATGCACGAGTATTTCACTTCAACACACCGCCTGGTGTATTTATGAGTCACAGTGGTGGCTGAGGAGTGTGCGTGGAGAGCAACGTGCCGATTGTAGCAATCATAGCAGCTTCCTCTTCCTAGCAATCCATAACGATTTCCACAAACACACACGCTATTTCTCCCCACACAGCCCAACTGCCATTAACGGCAACTCCACCGCCACCTTCACCGCCACTGTGCTACCGATAGTCAATGCAAATATTACGTCCTTGACATCTTTCATTCAATCTAAGGTGAAATGCATTGTACACACACACTCATGCAGATATATGTATACGCAACTGTCCGTTCATCGCATACTCATACACACACACACACATGCATTTGTGGAACTACATGCGCGCGCAAATAAATACATGCAAATTCATACACGTACAAACATATACTCATATATAATACACATCTAGATGTGTATAAGAACGCACTCGCTGGAGTAGTGTGCTTGGCTACTCCTCCCCGCTCAGCGCATGCAATGAGCTTTCAACTTGACTTCGGGGCGTTTAACAAATGGGACAACAACGTCGAATGGACACATGGAGCGTGCAACAATAAAATCACCAAAAAAAAATTAGAATGTGAAATAAAATATAAAAGAAGGAGCGTTGAAAAAATGTAACGAACAAATAGTTAGGTCATGCGGCAGAACACGTGAGAAATGAAATGAACGCAAAAACAACGGCAAAAAAAAAACTGAACCCGCAAAAACACAAAAAAAAACTTTGCTTCGTTTGCAGCGAAGCTATAACACCCCTCACGAATACAAACTTTTTCCACAGAACTTGATTTTTATCGGTAAATTGGTATGGCAGCTACAAACTATAGTCATACGATCTGAACAATTTATACAGAGATTGTGTGTGATTGACCAATAATCTATGCCAAATTTCGTGAAGATATCTTGTCAAGTAAACAATTTTTCTCTATAAGAACTTAATTTTGACTAATCTGTTTGTATGACAACTATATGATATAGTAGTCCGATATAAATAATTTCTTCAGACATTGTACCCGAGTCTTGGAATATAATCCATATCAAATTTCGTAAAGATATGTATCTTGTCAAGTAAAAAAGTTCTTCTGCTATATGATATAGCAGCTCGATCAGAATAATTTTTTTGGAGATTGTACTTTTGGCTTGGAAAATAATCCATGTTAAATTTTCTGAAGATATCTCATGAAATGTTAACGATTTCCGTACAAACACTTGATTCCGATATTTCAGTTTGTATGGCGGCTATATGCGATAGTGATTCAATTTGAACAGTTTTTTCGCAGATTATGCCTAAGTCTTGGAATATAATCCGTGCCAAATTTCGTGAAGATATCTTTTCAACTAAAAAAGTTTTCCATACAAGCACTTGATTCCAATCACTCAGTTGATATGGCAGCTGTATGCTATAGTAGTCCGATATTGCCTTTTCTCACAACTAAGCAGCTTGTTGGGGAGAAAAGAACGTGCGCAAAATTTCAGAGCGATACTTCAAAAAATGAGAGACTTGACATATTTAGAGGTGGGACGGATATGGTGCAGTGGGCTCAGCTGGCCACGCTGATCATTTATATATACATACGTATACATTTTTGATAAGGTCTCCAAGGCTTTCTTCGGGGTGCTACAAGCTTTGTGACAAACTTAGAACACCCTGTTCAGGGTATAAAAATAGAAAACTCTAAAGCCGCACCTAAGGCAGTGTTGCACAAAAGCACTCGCAAACACACTCACATCTACTCACGTGTACACGCATACTCGCAAGCGGTTATCACGTTATCTGTGCATAAGCATAGCCATGAGTTTTCTCATTACAAGAAAAAGAAGGTAAAATATTAGGCGTAGCAAATTGAAGCAGCAAGCAACAGAGAAAACAGACCGAAAAAATTTTAAATAATTAACGCACACATAAACACACCCAAGTAATATACAAATAGGTATGCGATTACATGCATGTGTGATTACACGCTTCCCACACACACACACACACACATTTATATCATATGTAATGGTTTGCTCGCCTTTGAAATTCTCGGAAAAATATGAGTGCTTCTCGATAATCGGCTAAAGCCTTAAAAGCTTCAGCTTATCTAATCAGGCGAGCAAGCATCTAATGGCTTTGTTGAATTTGTTGTTATTGCTTTTGCACAAAAATTGCTGAAATGAAAAGGTGAAATGTGCAGTTGCAGGAGACTGAAGTAAAGTGGATAACATTTTTGTTGCTCTTAAAATTTCAATCTATAAGTGTGCGGCAAGTAAGTGATTAGGAGCCACCCGAACATCAGGCACTTTGCTGCTCTAGGCGATACTCATACACATTCAACCAAGAGTTTGATAAGTGAAAACTTGCAGCGATTCGGCAACAAATTTTCTCTTCGAAAGATGTGGTAATTGGTAAAAGGTTCGTACTCTCACTTCGCGGCATCTTTTTCATTTTTGAGAATGTTACTCCATCGCAGTCAATAATGGTGTTACTTATGTCTGGCTAAAGACGCTTTTCACGAAGCCCTTCTGTCATTTAAAGGCAGCTAAAGTCTGCCAGGCTCTCTACTTCGTTAAAATAATGTCTACGTCTTCAGCTCGATTGAGAAGAAGGGCTCATCTAAGTGCCAATAAATGAAATTTAGAAAGAAAAGGGTTCGCGTGTTATTGTTGAAAAAGAAAACTGGCTTTTTCCAGACAGTTTTTCTCCGGAAACTATGCATTACTGAACAAATTTGGAAATCACATTAATTTTTGCTACAGAAAACTGAAAAAAGACTCAATTCTCATCCATAGTTGTAGTTTTTCAACCCAAGAATCTACCCATTTCGATTTTCAGTTATATAAAAACCGAGGATTTTATCGAAAGACTAAACTAAGTTGAATTGATGCAAGGTTCAAATTTTGGGTAGCGGATTTTAAGAATGTCGTTTGAACAACCAATATATGGTATGTGTTCCAGATCTTCATCGTAGAACCCGAAGCATTGGACAAATGTTTCTAGAGAATTCAGTTTATTAATTTATAATTTCGTGTTGGGATTCGAGGATTTTCCTATTCCCTAAGCCGTTCTCAAATCGAATTAGACCAATAATGATTGCTTTACAGAGTTTAAGTGATAAATTTATATCTAATTTAGAGTTTGACAGATATTTTTTCATGGCGAAAAAGTTGTATTGGGTATACTTCTTCTACTTTATCGGCGTAGACACCGCTTACTCGGTTATAGCCGAGTTTACAACATCGCGCTACAACAAATATTTTAAATTCTTTAACTTTAAACCTCAGGTTTACTAGCTGGCATATAATTGAGATACTTCCTTGTGTGAGGGTCGCGATTTGATAGAAAACTTTACACAAGCATGTGCCCACCTGTTGCCGAAGTGCAATATCAACCTTGTTGAACACAGAAATAGTCACTGCATATTCTGTTAACATTTGGTGTCAGATACAGACTATAAAGTGGATACATAAAATCCTCTGAACCAAGCTCTTGAGGTGTGTGGGGTGAAAGTATTGAAAGCTGGCCGCTTCTGGGCGATTGCTTTCTTCAGAACGGTCCAATTGTTAGTAGTATCGGGTGATTTTTTAAGAGCTTGATAACTTTTTTAAAAAAAAAAACGCANATGCATTTGTGGAACTACATGCGCGCGCAAATAAATACATGCAAATTCATACACGTACAAACATATACTCATATATATATATATATATATATATAACTAATATGTGAGTACACATGTAAATATATGTGTGTCCAGCGTGTTGGAATCCAGTTGATGCTGTGCAAATGTGCTCATATGAGTCGAGTATACATTTGAGAATGCGAGCTCAAATATTTGCACAGTCATCAGCGCCATCCAAGCTGTTAGATGATGAACGACCAAATGGACATAACGCTTATGTGTGTGCAACAGCAGTAGTGGCAGCAGTGGCAGCAGTGGCAGCAGCACCGGAAATGGTCATTTTCGGAAAATGTGAAAACTTTGCACAACGCTCGTGCGCTTTCTTTTCACTCTAGTCTCTCTCTACCCCTCCCTCTCTCACTCTCTCTTTCACATTTTCGCTCTGGTTTTTATGGCTTCCGTGGCGTTTTGTTTGTTTCTTCATTATTGACATGACAACATCATTGATTCCCTTGTGCTTTATGGTTATTGCCAGTGTTCCATTTAGTGGCGCGCTCCAATTTGAATACACACTCACATACATATACATATATTACAGCACGCTGGCTGCAAGGGAGTATATTTTCGTAGTGGATTTGGAGAAAAGTTTATCAGCTCTTACTTTACAGCGAACTTTACAATTTCCAGTATTTGTTATTTGGTTGCCAAACACTCGCTTGCTTAGTTGGTAGTTTTTGAAATATTTGCATTGCTTACCCTCTAGTGTTCCGGTGTATATTCTCGAAATGTCATAATCCACCGGTCCATGCGTGCTTTCGATTTCAACATCACCCGCAAACACCGACAGTGGATTCTGTTGGAGAACCATGCGAAATTCTCTGAAAATTGAAAAAAAAACATATGAGTTAAAAAAATAAATCGTTGAACATAGTTAAAACATATAAATTATAGTACATATTTTAAAGTTCCAAAAAGATATTTACAATTATCAAGCATTCCGTCAGAAAAAAATTCTTATTAAGTTTGTGAAAATATTTTACAAAGTAACGAGTTAGAGTTCCACTCTTTAGGCAGCACCTATGTAGATACGATCTCATTTTCGCAGAACATAAGAAGGTCCTTTAATAGTTGCATGCGTTTACGGGTTTCAAAAAATCGAATTTTTTTATTGTCTTATTAAATTTTAGATTAATAGTTTCGGAGATATAGCCTTGAGAACTCGGGCGCTCGAAATTAGCTAGGCTAAATGCGCCGCCTTTAAACGCGCCTTTCTCTAAACTTTTTTGAATTCGATTGGCAAGATTTCTCGACTCAACTGATTTTAATGAAATTTTACACAGACCTTTGAGATATAATTCTTAAAGACTTTGTCGAAGGATTTTTTCGATTACAACAATTAAAAAAATGTGGCAAAAGTTTCACTGAAATTTTAATTTTTTTATAGAAATGTGTGGAAAATGCAATTTTCAGTTTCGTCCAAGTTCTAAGTTAAAGTTTTAAGTAAAACACGTATTTTTTCACTTTAGATTATCCTGTAAGGAGTTATCCGGCCAACGCGGAAATGGCATTGCAATCGCCGAGTTAAAATTTTTTTTTTCAAAAATTTCAGAATTTCTTTGTTAATAGTGTATGTTTGTATCAATAAAAAAAATCGAATAAAATATTTAATGTTTTTATATGAGAATTGTTGAAAAAATTCTGCTTTCTACCCGAGGTAACCCATATTACCCTTTAGATTCTACTCTCACACCATCTCATTTTGGCTAAAAATTGGAAGTTCCTTTCAAGTCCTTTTTTCTAATCGTTAATTTATCTCATGAAATAGTTTTACATAAACTCCATCAGCTGTTTGGGGCAGCTTGAACTTCAAGCGGCTTTTATTATTTCCAGATATTGTCGAGGCATCCATCAGTTCTATATATGTACCTATGTGTGGAGAAGTTAAGCCAAGCATTTAGAAGATTAATATTCGAAAGATACTCTGAATTTGCAGAATTGTTTGGGTGGCCTTACTATTCAAAGTTTTGTATAAATAAAATGCAATCATAGTGGTCTCATTGAATTTTATGTCTTTGATGCAACCAATATAAGCAATGGTGTCAATCCATTAGCCGAAAGGATGAGAGAATGCCAATTTCCAACCATTGAAATAAGGAGCACCGAAAAACATTAAAAGCCAACGACTCCACTAACTACATAATAAGGCTCATTGTTCTTCAACTAAGCCTAAGTTAAGAGTATGCTGGAATAATTGTATTACTTTCATCATCCTTGAGATATTATTTGTAATAGGTCAATAAAAAAGTCCTCTAACCTTTAAAAGATGTGTGTATAAATTTGATATCTCTCGGAACATTGGTTTGTGAATTATATCATTTTGAGTGAATCAACTATTTTTATTGCGAAAAAAATGGATAAAAAGGAATTTCGTGTGTTGATAAAATATTGCTTTTGAAGGAGAAAAATAAAGTTGCAGCAAAAGCTTGATCTCGAGCTTACGTATACTGCGAAAAGAAAGTCAACCATCGAGGATTTGTATGCTAAGTTAAGGCATGGTGAAATGAGCATCGAAGGTGGTGAACGCAGTGGACGCCCAAAAGAAGTTGTTACCGATGAAAACATCAACAAAGTCCACAAATTAATTTTGGATGACGTAAAGTGAAGTTGTTCGCGATAGCAGGCACTCTAAAGCTGAATCAATTGATTATCTACATCATATCATTCACGAATATTTGTGTATAAGACAATTCTATGCATAGTGGGTGCCGCGTGAGCTCACTTTTGACCAAAAACAACGGCGAGGGTGCTTGGATATGTTCAAGCCTAATAAACCTCATTTTTCTCGTCGATAAGTGACAAAGGATGAATCATGGCTTCATCATTTTACTTCGAAGTCCAATTGACAGTCATCCGAGTGGACTGCTCATGATGAACCCGCTCCAAAGATGAAAAGACACAATGGTCGGCAGACAAGGTTACGGCGTCTATTTTTTGATATGCGTATGGAATAATTTTTATTGACTGCCTTCAAAAAGGGAGGATCATCAACAGCGATTTTTAGGTCCGTTTTAATGCGACCGTTTGACCGAAATTCCGAAAAATTGTCGCATTTGAAGAAAAACAACTACTGTTTCATCAAGATATTGCACCGTGTCACACCATATTCCCCAGATTACGACACCAGCGACTGTTCCTGTTCTCAGATCTCGAAATAATGCTCGTTGAGAAGAAGTTTTCGTCGAATGCAGATGTGATCGCCTAACTAAGACCTATTTTAAAGCAAAGGACAAATCGTAACACAAAAATGGTATCGAAAAGTTGGAGGGTCTCTATAATCAGTATATCACCCTTGAAGGGAGCTACGTTGAATAAAAAAAAAAACGAATTTTTCAAAAAAAAAAAAGTTTCTATGGTAACCTGGGGACTTTTGAATTAACTTGTTATTCTCCCCTTTCTACTGAGTTTCTGAAAACAAGCCATGTTGCAAAATTCTGTTATTTCTAATTTGTTTGTTTTGTCCATAATACAAACTACCCAAATAATAATGGTAGGTGTGATATTTTTCTATTATAAATAGAGTGGGTTATTTGAATTGGCTACGTATTTTCCCCGTTCGCATTGCCCATCTATCACGGTTTCCGCGATCCAGTAACAAATAGGCGCTGAGACTGAGTTCAATGACCTCAAACTTTGAGCTGGCGAACTGGGTGTTAATGCTGTCATAAACTGCTTTTTCAATACACTCCGCTATATCAGTACAAGTTAGCACAGTGTTTTATAATACTTTTTCACCCATTTGGGGTCATAGTCCTTATTTCGGAGGAATTGATCTCATAGAAATTCGATGTGGTCGAGAATTTAGAAAGTTGTGTGATTGATCTAATTTTTAAGAAAATGAATGGCACACAGCATTTATTCAATGATTTTAGAAATTTTATTTTGAACAGCTCCTAAATAATCGAGTCCGTTTAAATGGGGTTCGCCAAACATAATTTGGTAGAGGCCGTAAATAATTTAGACATACTGCATGATATCTGAAAACAAGGGATTAGCAAAGAAATTCTATATCTTTTTTACAATTTAAGAGAATTCAAGTATTTTGAAAGAAATTCCAATGTCAGCAGTGACTCACACTTAACTCGTTGCCCCTTGAGGATGGAAAACTTTATTTATTTATAATTTTTGGAACAAGTTTATGCCTTTCCAATTTAATTATTTTTCTAAAAATTATGAACAGCAGTTTATGGGACGAGATTGGTGCATAATAGTCTTGTTAAAATATCTTGAAACATTTTAGCAGTTAGAAACCATGAATGAAGTGGAAAGAGTATATATGAAATGTATGAATAAATATGTCTACTGCTCCGTACGACAAGTGAGCATTAAGCACAATAGGTATTGTTCTTTCATTGCCTCTGCGAAATATGTAATGCACAGTTCATATTCAAAACCAGTTCTTCACTTACCTGTCATGAGCAAAGAAATTCAGTCTGATTGTGTGCACTGGCCCGAATTCGCCCAAATCCAGTGCTCTTTTTCGACGATGACGTTTCTGTTCGATGTGTTTCTGATGTGCCGAGTGCAAATGCGAACGATCGAAATCCGCCGCCTCCCAGTGCCGTATATAGGGGGAGAGCTTTTGTGTGTGTCCTGCAATGAAAGAAGGGAGGGAACATGAAAAAACAAAATAAATTAGCGAAAATTTAATTATTGGCGACATAAATATGAAATGTTTTTGCTTGGCGCGCAGGTAGGCAAGGGGCTCGAAATACTTCCACAAACAAGCAAAGACAACACAAATTTTTCATACAACTTTAATTAGCGTTTTTATGCCTGTGTGTGTGTGTTGTTGACGTTGCTGTTGTTGACTGCGAGCAGCAGCAAGTATGATGCCGTATTGAGTTTGTGGTAATTACGAACAATAGCAAAAAAGTTCGGCTCAAAGTTTTGAGCGTAAAACCGCAAAATGAAAACTTTGCGTTATTTATTTTTAATTTTTGTTATTACAAAAAATATGCGCGCTGAGGTGTACTAATTGCAAAGTTGCACAGCATAGCACAGCACAGCATAGCATAGCATAGCATAGCATAGTACAGCAAAGTCATTTATAATAATCTTTTTTCACCACTTTTATTTCTTTTGCATATACTTGAGCAGGGGGCTGCGTGTGCGCGTCAGTTTACAAATATATACACGAGTGTGTGTGTGTTTTGCGGCAAATGTGTGCGGCTGAAGTGTTTGGAGTACTCACTTGTACTTAAAGTCGACACATATGGCATGCGAGTAATTGTTTAAGTCATTGTACATTAATTTTGTAATTTTCTACTTCAGTGACGTTTTCCACACACGCGCACACACACACAACCACACATGTGCACATACTTGCATGCATTTACCCAGTCTTCTGCAGTGCGATTTTGGTATTATCCAAGTTGGTTGGCGAGCATTGACACGAGGACTTTGAGATAAGCTAGTGACTTTTTATGACCCCATTTCAGCGCACTTGGACTAAAAAAAAATTAGATCAGAAAAATTTGGAGCAGGTCAAGGCACTTATTATTTGAGTTTGTAAATACACATATAGTATAAGCTAAGCTGCTTTGACTTGGTGACACACAAAGAAAGTATTGTACTAAAGGAGATTGAAGAAAATTTGGGTTTGTGGAACCCAACACCTGCATCTATGTGAAGAAAAACCGATGCAGTCGTATGTGTGACAACTATTTGCAATTCCAATTGATGCGTTTGAAGTGTTCTTGTTCTCAGTATTATTCAATTATTATGAAAAATTATATAATATATTTGTGCTCCGAATTGTATTTAGAAAAAAACTATTAAACAACCAAAACAAATATCCTGCCAAGTGGTGTCAGTGTCGAGCTATTACCAAAAATTTATTCGCTTGGAATACAAGAAACTAATATTGAGTAGTCGAAAAAGTCGTTTCGTTTTTTGTCAATAGATGTCGTTGGAGATTTCAAATTTTAAGCTTCATTCAACCAAAAAAAAAAAAAAAAATCAAAATCGGGGAAGTCGAATAAAAGTTACAGTTGTTTAAAAATGAGTGAAAATAATGGAGAATGAAATTTGTGAAGTTTATGGAGACGATGCTGTATCAGTTCGTACAGCACAACAATGGTTCGCTCGCTTCCGTTCTGGAAATTTCGATTTATACTGGTGGAACAATGTCTCTGGCGAAAAATGGCAAAAGGTGAGCGACCAAAATGCTACTGCAAAAGTCATTCTGCTATATTTGCAAATTCTTCAATTTCAAATCACAATATTTTAATGCACTTGACGAAAATGAGACGCTCTTGTAAGCCAACCTGACATTAATCAGGGAGATTTTAATTTAACATTTGTTTTGAAATAGAGCTGCCTCATTTATACATATTTCGTTTTAGTCTACCTGTTCACTGAAGCGTCTTCCAAGCGGTTGTAACTGCCATAAAGATAGCAAGAAATCTTCTGCACCGGACGCAACCTCCTTCAGAGCGGTAACTATCCACTCTGATTGTACAGTAGCGATATTTGTTGTTTTATGATTAGTCTGTTTTGGGGAAACGATTATTGCAGGATACTTTAAGGCTAAAGAGCTTGCTGGAACAGGTACTTCGATCTCAGTAACTGCGGAATAGGAACGGGCAGGAGCTCTGTTGGTTCCTTGTGGTTCGCTACTAGACTATTGAGTGTCAGACTGCTCTACAAAGGCAGGGTTCGTCTGGCCTAGTGTAATTCGTGAGAGGTATAGGGAACTCCGCGATCTCAGCAAGGTACCCCTCTTAATGATAAATGATAGCAGGAGTGCCTAATGGGAAGCTGAGTTGGTTCCTTGTGATTCGCCATCTAACCTAACATACCATCTATCATAAATAAGTGCAATCACCTGTAGAATATGTGTTATACGAGTATTAAGCTACCATATGTCTTGGTAATAACAAAATTTTTTGTTGAAGAAAAATAAACCAAAAAGCCGCCGACATATCAAGCAGCCCTCGTATACTTTGCCTTTGCAGTTTTAAGCCCAACTTTTTAAATGCAACCGAACAAAATGCTGCGCAGTTCGTTGCACAGAAAAGCTGGCATATACACAAACGCACACATAGACCAATCGAATGGCGTTAGCACCCATATTGAATTACAACAACATAATGCGATTGTGAAATAAAAGACATTGCGACGTGTTAAGATCTAATCGACACTCGTAAATTTTCTAACTAAAAATTGTGAAAAATTGCCTTTTGCTCGTAATATGCCCATTATTACTTTTTCCCCAACAAAACGTGACTTTGCACGCACGCGCTAACACACACATCAACTCATGAAAACACGGAAATGAAAATGCATTGCTGACGAAACATAGAAAGGAAATAGCAGAAAACTTTAAGTTCAACTTGAATTCGTCTTAACTTTACACATAAATGTGCCGTTATTTCCGCTTGGTGCCAACGTGCGCATACAAACGATGTGCGGAATGTAAAAAAAAACGAAATAACAACAGCACTTATGCAATTAAATTATTAACTATTGTGTGAGCACTTCCTCACCTTAGTCGGTCGCCTGTCATTTTCGTGATTCTTTTGTTGCTTTATTTTTGTTTGTTTCCTCGAAGAAAAGTAATGATTTCAGCGTATTATTTGCTGTGCTTGCTTTCGCCACACGACAGCTTATACAAAATACAACAACAATGAGCAACCCATGGCAGTAGCAAACGAATTTGTCTGCAACGTACTTATGTATGATAAGCCCGTGAGCTATCAATCAATTTGGTTAATCATTAAATTGGCCCCAATGTCGTGCGTTGCCGCTAGCCCAGGCCTAGACCCAATATGCAAAGATGATTGCCATTAAATTTGTTCGATTTCTTCTTTGTTTCGTAGCAGCACACGGCTGATCGCCCAATTTAATAGAGAAGATTATCCTATTAGCACATTGTTTAATTATCGCCAAACAACAACACATGCGCTCATTAAATTAACAGCCGTGCAGTAGGGTTTGACATTTCAAGTTCATTTAATTTGTGTCAATAGGTTCTGAAGCTAAATGCTAGGCATTAGAGAAATTGAAAAATACATATATTATATGTTATATCAGATAAACAGGGCAGAGAGATATGATTTCTTTTCAAAAAACACACACAAATTGTTAAGAAATTTCAAATGTGTTTTATTTAATATGAAGTACAATCGATACTATCGATCGATAGTTCGAATGGTCTACATTTCTTTTACAAGAACTAAATTCACGAACCCAATTTTCGATACTTGTTCTACTAAATCAAGTCGTATGTCATGATTTGCACATTCAATATTGAATTCTAAAGTTGGAAGAGAGGTTAGTTTATTGCTAAAGACCAATGATTTCAAATAACCTCACAAGAAACAGTCTAATAGTATTAAGTCATAACTTCCTGTAGACCATTCAATGTCACAATTTCTTGCAAAAATCGATTCTCTAAACCTTTCTCGCAATAATTCGGTTGTTGCTTCTTGAAACCTGATGTTGATAACATGAGCTTCTTTCAGTTGCGTTCATAACAGGTTGGTTACCATCGATCTATACTGCTCTCCATTAACAGTAACGGTGTCACCAGCTTCATTTCGAAAGAAGTACGGGTCGATGATTCCAGACCAAAAACAACACCAAATTGTCAATTTAGGTGAATTTAATGATTGCTCATGAATAGTTTGTGAATTTTCTTTGCACCAGAAATGACAGTTTAGATGAAAGTAAACACTTTGTCAAAATACGCGAGGTTGTGATTTGAGACAGTCGTAATTCTTGAAAACATCTTTTAACCGAGAAATTGCTGTATTCATCTTGAGTAATCATCCATGTCTAGTTTCGTGAATATATCACATCAAATGAAAAGTTTTTTGTACAAGCATTTAATTCCGATCGTTCAGTTTGTGTGACAGCTGTAAGCTAAATATATCGGCAGTTCCGACAAGTGAGCAGCTTCTTGGGTGAATGCATTGCCTATGTTTTGATTTAAATTGATCTTAAAGTATTTAAAAAAGCGTGTGGAAATTTGGATCGAAAAGATCGGCTTTGAAAGTCAGACAGACGTCAGCATCCAAAGGATTCATTCCCATACATATATATGTAGTTGTACAAAGTTTCACCCATCACCCATGCTTTCCTGTATCTGAATCCTAATATATTTTCTCTATCTATATGTATATGTATGTATGTAGTGAATATATGATTTCCGTCAAAGTTGCAATGACTTTTTAGATTCTTCCATTAGATCGCTCTAATTTCCTGATCAAGGTTAAGAATGGAAACTTTTTGTATAATATGAAATACGAAAAGAGATAACAGAACAATTTTCAAAATTAAACATACATATGTGTGTATACGTATACGTATTTCTAAGATACTACCTTTCTTAGGTTACAATCTTAAAATTTACAAAAGCTATGGACTGAGAATAAGAATTTTGCGTGTTGTTGTGTTGTAGTAGAATGGGCTAGAGACAGTAATAAAGAAAAGATCAAGCAGTAAGTAAGTGAGTTAAGAAATAGGAAGAGGAATAGGAAAAGTAAAGCTTGATGAAAGGGTATGTCGTTTCGATATCTAAATGTTGCTATACAAATGAAATTGAGATAGTTATATCATTAAAAATTCAGCAACGAATTTGCCGCTTT